TTCTTCGTTGGCTTCATTTGCTTAGTACCATGCACCTAAGGTTCCCTGGTGTCTTTTCACAGCTTGAGTGATTCAAGTATTTTCCTTGGCACAGAACAATCTTTTATCATCTGCTCCCGTAACCATTCCCTTCCTCACTGAAAGCCATCTCGGTGACTCCTGAGCTTTGGGAACCATTAATAAAGCTGCTCGAAGGATCTTCATGTAGGCTCTTGCATAGGTGAACGTTCTCAGCCCATTTGGGTTTTACAGCAAAAATAATTTCAGGCTTGGAAGAAACTCCCATCTGCTCTCCAATGGATCCATGCCATTTAGCATTTCCTCCTCAGTAAATGAGAGCTCTGGTTGTTCTGCATCCTAGCGAGCATTTGGTGTTATCTCTTCTGAATTTTGGCCACTCCAGTAAGTGTGTGGTGCTATCTCATTGTTTTAATCTGCATTCATTTTCCTCTTGATACCAGTGTGGAGCATCTTCTTATTGTCTTTTCTTTTAAGAGGTGTCTAGGTCTTTGGTTCACTTTAAAAAAAAAGGGGGGGGGTACTTGTGACTGTTGAGTTTTAAGGGTTCTTTGCACATCTTGGGTAACATTCCTTTATCTGATGTCAGTGGAGAAGACTTCCTCCTAGTCTATGGCTTGTATTTTCATTCTCTTGACTGTTTTCCACAGAACAGAATGTTACTTTTTCTTCCTCACTTCCCTTTTCCTTCTCGCTCCTTCTTTTCAAGATGCTGAGGCCTCAGACTCACGGCCTGCTGCGTGCTACCTGAGAGCTCTACCCCTGAGCTGGCTGGATATCCAGAAACTTAATCTTTATGAAGTTTGGCTCATAGATTGCATCTTTACAGGTCATCCAAACTAAACTCAAGCCAGACTTTCTTCAATCTTATCTCCAGGTTTTTCTTAGTTCTGTTTTGCACCTGGGTCATTTGCCTTTTTTTTTTTTTTTTAAGGATGCATCATGGTCTGTTCCTCAGCTTCTTGCATGTGGATGTTTGCTGCATTGTGAGACTTTTGCTCCCTTTGTCAAAAGATCAGCTGACTATATGTAAGTGGCTCTATGTCTGGGCTTCCCACCTCCAGACCTCTTCCAGGTTCTGGTGTTACTGTCCTTCAAGCTTGTTGTCGATTAGGGGTCCCTGGTCTCTTCTAGGTGTGTCCAACCCGGTTGTGACATTTGGCACATGAGGGCTGTGAATGTGGCTCAACACAAAAATCACAACTTAAACTTACTCGCTTAAAACATTACTATTTTTTCTTCTAACATGATTGTACAGTTTCTGAGCACAGAAACTGTAAATTTTGTAAATGATGTTATATAAAAATGTCAAAATATTGGACACGCTCAATAGATTTTGGAGACAGTGAGCCAACAAGAACAGAGTAAATTATTGGGTTTTGATTGAGTTCATCAAATCTATCAATCAGGCTGGGAAGCACTAATATGCTAACATTGAGTTTTCCTATCTGCAAACACGAAACATCCTACCTTGCGGTTTTTCCGTTTCTTCCACTGGTTTCATTTCCCTCCTCTAGACCTCACAGACATTTTGTTAGACCTGTGCCTACAGACTGTATTTCACTTTGAGAGTTGCTCTTATGAATGGGGCTGTATTTTGAATTTCAGACTGTGCTTGTTCATTGCTGGTACATAGAGAAATGACTTGACTTACATGTATTATTAACCTGGTCTCCTGCAGTATGGCTATGGCTTCCCCTTTAAAAATACCCCCTTTCCTTCATATATTTTTTTTTGAAACTTTGTCCAGCATCCTCTCTGGGCACCTCCTCTGATCCCAGAAGGAATAGACTAGCCCAAACCAATCAGACTTAGGAAAGTTTCTCTACCTTGGAGGCAGGGGTGAGGACATTAATATAAATGCTCCCTGTCGCTGGGGATTGCAGATTTCTTGCCACAAAAAGGTCCAACAGGACCCTAATTGTTATAAAAGAGCTGGGGAAGTGGCACTGAAAATTAGTGTTATATGCCGGGCGGTGGTGGTGGTGGCGCACGCCTTTAGTCCCAGTACTCGGGAGGCAGAACCAGGCGGATCTCTGTGAGTTCGAGGCCAGCCTGGTCTACAGAGTGAGTTCCAGGAAAGGCGCAAAGCTACACAGAGAAACCCTGTCTCC